TTAAAATTGCGATGATAGACCTCTTAATATACCTACCATATTTTCGATATACTTAAAAAAAATAGTTGATTTTTTTGGCCCAGTCTAAGGTTCAAGATAAAATTGTAAGTTCAAGTTACAATTGTAGGTTCAAGTTACAATTGTAGGTTCAAGTTACAATTGTAAGTTCAAGTTACAATTGTAGGTTCAAGTTACAATTGTAAGTTCAAGTTACAATTGTAGGTTCAAGTTAGTTTTGGCTAAAATTTGTAAAATTTTTGTTGGCCCTTCTACGCCTTCGTATTAAAGCCCTTTTATTTAATAATAAAAAACGCTGAAAAAAAACTTTTATAGGGAAATTTTTTGAAGTAAATAAAAAATATGCTGTTATATGGCGACAAATTATATTACTAAAAACTGTTAAAAAGTCTGAAATTACCATATACGTCATATACGTAATACATACATATATGGAAATTACAGTAAAACCTATAAAAACAAAGTAAATAATAATGTTCAACTATTATTTTACAAACTTAATATATTATAATAAATATTTAGATAGCAAAAACACAATTACTTTTTTATTAGGTTTTCACTAGTTTTGTAATTTGTGGTCCTCGTACTCGCCAAGGGCGTCTAGGCAAAATAAGAGCATGAAAGCAGGGTCTAATTAAGAATAATTTACTTTTCCGCAATGAAAAATATATTTTTACTGAAAAATCAAAGTTTCGCCATTTTAGGCTTTTAGGCAAAAACAAAGTCATACGCTTTATTTTTTTAAGTTTAGGATTAATTTCAAGGTCCCAAACAAATGCCTTAAATAGAAACAAAAAGGCATTTTGCCTTAAATCCTTGGTAATAACGTTTTAAACTTTTCATGCTTTTTGTTATTTTAATTATTGCACTAAGAATCTATCTTTTGCATTGATTCTTATTGTAACTTTAATCTTTCAAATGCAAAATGACAGTTATGCTTTATAAATTTTTAAATTGTAAGTAAATTTTTAAAATATATATTTTAAAATACAGTACCTACCTATGTAAATAAAAGGTACCTATTCACTACTTAAACTTAAAAATCAATCTTGCAAGTGTTGACCATTTGCTTTCGTGCTCTTTTAAACAAACACATGTTGTTTAACTTAACTTAACTAAATGATCGTTTATCATTTTGCGTTTAGGTCAAAAATATCTTCAACCATATATACATAAGGTTGCCATATTATTGAATTCACATGTAATTCCTTTACTTACGTTTTTAATGTTTTTTTAGACTTAAGAATATTGTATTTGCCAATTATTTAATTCAATTAAATTAGCACGCGTAATCATTTCTTGTTGTTAAAACCAATTTGACCTATTTCCACATTTAAATTTACACGTCTGTAAATTTATATTTGTAAAACCAATCAATTAGAAGTATAAGAAAAGGAAAAGAGTTTAAAAAAGTTAACATACTTTGTGAAAAAAATAGTCGATTTTCAACATAGTTACGATTTTTTTTATTTTGGATTTTTTTACTCATCTACAGATCAGTACACTAGAAGGACCAGACTTATTTTTGTAGGAAACGTTCTACAAAAAAGGTCTCTTATTATTTTATGATAAATTTACTCTTTTAAACATTGTTCAAGGTCAAAGTAAATTTCAAGATTTTTTTAGTTTTCCCATGAAACTATCTAACTATATAACTTAACGCAAAATTTTATATATATAAATATAGGACCTTTTTTACTTAAATTATTAACATTAATTATTACAAGAGAGTTAATAAATTAAAAATAATTCGACACATATTTCAAAAACTTGTTGTAAACAAGTTCTGGAGAATTAGGTATTTTCTAATTTATTGAACTCTCGAGTCGTATTCGAAAGATTATTTTTTGACGCTTATTATAGAATTTTGTTAGATTTTGACAGATATCATATTATTTCCACCCATAATATAACAAGTGGTATGATTATCATCGATGATATTTTCGAATTGAAACCGAGCTGCAGATTTCACGAGTTCACAGGACGAGTGAAATGTGCTGCTTCGGTTTCAATGAGTAAATATCTTCGATTATTAATCATACCACGAGTTATATTTAGTGAGAAAATACAATGAATTTTAGGATTTAAAAAATTGTCAGATTGACATTTAAAATTAAAATGTGCTTTAAAATATAAAAAGACTTTAATAAACCTTATTTATTCAAACTTACCTTAATTTCATTATCGTTTACACCAACCCATCGATCTTTTATAATTCATTATTTTATTGATATATATCACAGACATATGTATATGTGATATATATCAAACACAGAATTTAAATGACAACAAATGTTAAATCAAGAAAAGTGTCAAAATCCTTAGTTCCGTGTAAACAAGATGATAAAAAATATTGCCGCTGAGATAAAATGCGTAACTATGGAATGCTGGCATTTTATTGGTTCTAATATTAATGAATTGTATTGTCGCGAAAATAATGCACAGTAGGTTATTTCCACTATAACAGGGGCGTAGGCAGGGGGTTTGGGGTTTGCACTGCCCCTGAAATGTAAGAAACATTTGTGTTTTAATTTATTTTTAGAAATCCTAACTTGTTTATATTCTAATATATTGTATTCTTTGTAACTTATTACTCAGATCCCGGGATTGGGACTTTTGATTCCTGGATTTTCGGGATTGTTTTTTACGGGACCCCGGGATTCCTGGATCCCGGGATTGACACCCCTAGTACAAACCTTCTTGTAATGAAAACCTGTAATATTTAATTTTAATAAATATTTTTGATTTAATTTGATTTTCTGCGGAGTTGGTGATTAAAGTGCGGTAACGTTACCGCGGTAACGGTAATTTAAGTAATGTAAGTTTGGTAATTTAACCCGGCAAATTTCTTTACCGGTAATTTTTAAAAATGATTTCGCCGTCTAGCCCTGAATCTATAACGCGCTTGGATTTATTCATTTTCCTCACCTAGTTGCATTGTTTTCTGGCGGATGGTAGTGATAGTGGGATTAGTAGGAGTAGAAACTAGAAATTGCGATTTAGTACCAACTTTAAAATATAGATTCTGAGAAGGAAGAAGATATTTAAAGTTTTAAATATACTTTTTGTTATTTACAAGTAGGTACTTACTGTATTACTTAGTGTTTAGCACTAAATCAGAACAAAATATATTTTTTTTTTGATTTTTCAATAAAAATTATTTGTTTAAACATTATATATTGATGTAGGTTTTATGTTATATAATAATATAATAAATGGTTTAAATATGTAAAATTTTTTAAAAATATATAATCCCAAAATGTAAACATTATATAATGTCCATCCACATACCTAGTATAATTATTTGTTATCTGAAATATTTCAAAAATTACCGTACAATTACCTGTAAATTACCACTGAGAAAATCAAATGAAAATTACCGGTAAACTTCAATCACTATGCGGACTATAAGTCGAGTGGTCGTGGGTTCGAATCCCACATGGGTATGGCTATTTATTTGTGTTTGTCCAGGGTTAAGTGGTAAAACAGCTTATGCTGAACTTCGCCCTTTGATCATTGATTAATAAATTAAAAAAAAAAGTTATTTGCTATAGATCCATAATAAAAAGGTAGCCTTTTTAAATTTTGCCGAACTATTTTTTTTTACAAATATTGGTTGATACATAATGTGCTTATAAATGTTTATTTCGTCATTTAATAATAATAATAATAATAATCGAAGATTTAAGAAGTAAAACCCTTTATAAATTATTATTATTGTTTTAATTATTATATAATAACAAAGCTCTAATTAATATAAAATTTAATTAGTGTTTGGCAATTGTTTACCTTAACCAAGCGTCGTTATAATTTAATTTTATCTTCAAATGAAAAATAAGAAGTCGATTACAAAGTGGAGGAAACAGACCAAGCTGGAACATGGTGGTCTAAATTTAACTGTCGTCGATTTTAAAACGACCCTACTTTTTGGCTTCCTGTTTCATATTAAGACAGACATAATAACATGCACATCACTTGGGTAGTTATGAAAAAAACTCATTCTGGAGGTAATTAAAATAAGCAACTAATAATTTAATAATTATTAAATTATAATTTATTACCTATCAATGGCTTGTTTTAAGATCTAAAAAACGCGTACGTAAGTTTTTTACTTATTAAATATTAGCGATAGAAACTTGACTGATTTTTTTATAGAGAATTTCATGCAGTCGGTTATATGAAAAAATGGCTACATGGGATGCAGAAAGAAATATTGAACCAAATTATTTACCTTTGTTGTAAATTAAAAGGTTTGATTTTAACTAAATTTTTATTTCGCCATAATCTAATGAAATGTTAGCAATTTTGTATGTTAAATTTTAATATACATACATGTATCATAATGATTTACAGTTAAATAAAGGCGTATTTAATTTTTTACTGGAATATTTGTTTTTATGGATAAGGCATACTGCAAAAAATATATTAAATGTATAATTTTAAATTGATTTGTTTTTTTAAGGCCATTTATAACCCTTAAGGTTAAATAAAGATTTAATGATTATTCAATCTTTATTTAACCCTTATTTAATTTTAATATTTGTTTTACATACCATTATAAATTATAATTATTAATGTTTACTTCTACAAAAACGATAAAATAAACCAAATATTAATCGTTCAAAAAATAATCTTTGGATTTTTATCACTTGCTGTATTTTTATATTTCTTATTTTGGTGCAGTTACTAAAATATGCCTTAAAAATTTGATTAGTCGTTTGCAAATGTGGGTAATAAGTATAAAACAAGTATCATAATATGTATAAATAACAATAACAAATAATGATAAACTTTTTGCTTTTATGAAATTGGTTACTGCTTATATTATTACTTGTTCTTTATTTTAATCCTCAAATTAAGAATTGTCGATTCTAAATTACCCATATATGTATTTAAAAGGAACTAAATATTCCAATAAACTGTATACTATACTGTATACTGTAATATGTATGTATATACTAAAGTTAACTTTTTTGTTTTAGCACTAGCCCAACCGATTTGCATAACGCTTTTAAAGAATCAACAAAGGATGGTAAGTTAACAATTTAAATGAGTCCTGTTGAATCAAAAGCCTTGATTAAGGGGGGCTTTGGTGGCTATTGCTCCAGGCCCCGCCATTCAAAGGGCCCCCGACAACTTACTAATTCTAAGTCAGAATAATAATACACATTATAGGTATTTTATCAAGGTCTAGCTAAATTTAAAAAAATTAAATATTTTTTATCAAAAAACATCCCGAAATATAAATTATGTTTTGTATGCGTCATCCAGTAGTCGATCAGTACTATCATTTTTTTATTACCTCTTTGCCAATAGACTCAAGTTTGTCGGGCAGCTGCGGCTTCCCGCCACACTTCTAAAACAATCCTTTAACGGCTAGCCATCAAAGGATTGTTTTAAAATGGCAAAAATAAAGGTTTATTTAGGTAAACTAATTAAGAAGTTAAGAAGAACTACAGTTGTGTACCAACAATTTAATAACAATGTCTAGTGGCAGAAAATACCTTAGTGGATCTGCTAAACCCAAGGTACCATCAGTTTTAACCACTTGTACATAATTTAGCTAAAATAAAATGGTACTATAAAAAATTTTGGTTAAGTCAAAACTAGAAACATACCTACCCATAATAGGTATATTTGTTCGCATTTTTAAATTAAAAAAAATATTAATATGAAATGTTTTTTTATGATTTGTTATTTTTTGGGCGTATGAGTATTGTATTATACGCTTAAAACTTACAAAACATACAAAAATGTAAAGTACTCCTATATTTAAATTTTAAAAAGAATATTAATGAGAAATGTTGATTGTAATAAGTTAAGCTATGAAAATGCATTAATTTAATAATATCATTGTTTCTAAAGGAATGTTAATATTTAATTTTACTTTTTGGTTCCAATTTAGGAAAAGATAAAATAAATAAAATTTCCATCATTTATTGTTTTCGATAGCTTGTTACAAGCAATATTTTTAATTTATGTTTTTTAAAATTTAAAACAATAATTTTAAGTGTAAACTAATTTTAGCAATTTTTATATTTTGATAAAATCGCTCTGTATTGTACACATATTATAAGCGTGTGAACTTACTAAACACTGCATTTTTCTTTTCCAACTAGTTTGAAATAAATATCTATTATTATTAATAATACTAAACATTTTTCTTGTAATAAAGAACTGTGGGCCTCTACAATTTTTAGCCACAGGCCCCCTTTACCTTAATCCGGCCCTGCGTGCTAAGCACAAATATGGTAACTACAATATTAAGTAACACAGTAGTTACCACCTTTTTGTTTAGCACGATTGCTTTTGATTCTACAGTACTTAAAAATTAATCTGCAATATTTAACCTTTCATATATTTTTTTAAATGAGTTAAACTTCTCGCCATAAAAAATGCTACAAACAAGCGTTACCTAATGTATAATAAGTCATATTACATTCTTAGTGCCTACTGTTTTTCGAGTCGATAACAAACCCGCTGATTTTTAAATAAGGCTTCGTTAAAGAGATAATTTGAATTATATTGTCGTATTTAATTTTGCTTGGATGTGCTTAAATTGAAATAAATATATTACATCCAATCCGTTATAAAAAGTATTTTGCATCAGCACAGCAACACATGTTTTCCCCATTTGGACTTTCCTTTTAAAATTAAAATGAAAACGTTAAAATATCTAGTCTTCAAAATGGTTTTCTACTTAACAGTAGTGTCCATGTTGTTGGAACTGGCCAAATAACTCGTCACCATGTTTTTGTTTAGAGCGTGCTACAAAAACAGGCACCGACAGACAACATGTTTCGGTCTTTTTAGATCAGTGCCAGATAGCCGTGGTGTGTAAGCACAACCGAAACAAACTGCCCAGCGCCTTAAGCCTGATTTATAGATTGCCTTCCTTCCTCCCGTAGAATATGAAGAATACAAAAACCGTTGTGCTGTTTAAAGATTCCCTATTTTTTGTGATTAAATATAGTTTATTTTATTAAATAAATCATACCTAGCACAGGTAAAAAAATATGTGGTCCTTATTCCCGCTTCTTTTCCGAGATAATGTTGCAATTTTTAAAAACTATCTGATTTTTCCTAAATCCTAAACTTTTTTTAAAATTGGTAGGTACATATGATATTAAATTAAGAACAAAATTTTAATATTGCATGACATGAATGATTGAATAATTGTTTTTTTTTATTAGAAAAAAAAGAAAGAATTGTATAAGGTATGTTTAATTAAAATTTAAATAAAGTTTTATCTTTTCGGTGTTACTTAGTTATAACTTATAACCTCGGTTATAACGATGTTATGTTTACTTTAGTACAGTTTATTTTCAATGACTATTAATTTTATATGCCTAACAGTAATCAAAATCCAAGTAAATACAATTTTATACAATATCCTTTGGACTGGAACAAAGCCAACATACGAGTATATCGTTTGTTTGTGAATTTAAACTCATATTTATAATTTTTGATGGTCACAACTCTTGCCAAAACGCCAATATTTTAATAAAATTCTATTATACTGGAACAGATCGAAATACTGAACCGTTTGGTACGCGTGACGTACGGACGTTGATTTTATTAATTATATAATTACAAGTGGGTAATGGTTAAAATCTAATCCATAATAACCAATAATGTTTTTTTCTCAAGAACAAAAATGTTAAAAGTACGATTGCGATAGACACGCCATTATTATAATCTGTTAATTTCACAGCGCCAAAAAAAATAAAAGTAGGGTGCATCAATAAGTATTTTAAATAATATTAGAAAAATAACAGGATATTGTTTGGAAACTGCTTTAAAGTTGCAGTTTACAGACAGAACCGTTCCTAGCTGTTCCTTTCTGCAGTGTGCAAAATAACATTTGCCCCCTTTACAAATAGGTGCTTCCAGTTTAAACCCTAAAGTAAAAATAAGAACAATCCTTTTTGTACAAATTCACAAATACATTTTTTTCTTTTGTCTAAAATTTAAAAGAATTTCTAGATATAGAATTTTTATTAGCTCCGTGCTTTATATTTTGACCAATTACAAAAAGGTATTTTGGCGTCCTGTTAAAAAATTAATCGTTCATTTAACTTCGTACGGGGGTGAAATTTGGAACTAGACGACGAAAGATTCGAGTCTAGAATATCAGGAATAAAACAGGGTACAGTTAATTTATAAATAAATTAGTTATCGTTAAACATTTAGAATCTTAAAAATAAAAAGTATTTATGTTGGGTAACACTATAAAATATCATAATTCCAGTGCAAGAACCAAATAATAAAATTTTACAGTAGGTAAGAAAAACGCTCTCTTATAAAGTCACCTTCAATAAATTAATATTTTTTAAACTTTATTTTCACTTCTGGCTGCAATCGATTTAAACCATTAGGTTAATTTATAGGAGCGTTTTTCTTATCTCCTGTAAAATTTTACTGTTTTGAAGTCACCAGGTCCTGCACTGGACCCCTCAATTATATATATATTATGTATACATATAATTTTAACCACCTTGTAAAAAAGTGTTTGTGCTTTTAAAATTCCCTGTATATAAGACATTTGTTAAACGTCAAAGTTTTTTGAATGGTTACAAAATTAAAACGTCATGTAAGATATTTCCTTAGAATTAAAAAAAAATTACAATGTGCTATTAAACATAGAAGACAAAGGGATCTGGCTATTAAGGCACACCCTTTTATAATTTGTAATAAATTTATGTATTGCGTAATTTGTTCATGATTTTAAGCTTGGCTTACCAAACACAATATAAGGAGTGTTACAGTTCCCTAAATTTTCATCCATAATGGCGTGCAAAAATTATCTAAAAGCGGTGCTTCAAAGTAATACAAATATTATAGAAGTAACTCCCAAAGAAACTGAAGAAAATCTCAAATTGGTTCAAAGTAGTGCATCTAATGTTGTAGCTGAAGATGCAGAAAAAGTAACTGAATGTAAACAGAATCAAAACGATTTTTAATAAGTTTTAAGTATTATGTTTAAAGCATATTCTCTATTTTTCAGGTAAATCGCAAGTAGGTGGATGTAGTAGATCAGTAAAGGAATTTGAAGAGCAATTGACTAATCTAAAAAAAGAAAATTTTAACTTAAAACTTAGAATATACTTTTTGGAAGAAAAATTGGGAGTTAACTTTACCCTAGACGAGGATAATGCTCTTAAGAAAAATATTGAACTGAAGGTTTGTATTTCGCATAAAAATAAATAAATTAAGAATATTTGATATAACTGGAAACATATGTATAGTAGATTTATTAATTTTATACTTCTATTAAAGGATAATCTATTAATGTTATTTATTTTATTATTATTTGCCTATTTTATTCTAGGTTGAAATCGCTAATTTACAAAAGGACTTGCAAGAAAAGCATGATTTGCTATGCCAGGCTGTAAAAGCAATAGAGCTAGAAGATGAAGAACATAAAAAATACTTGCAAATAAAAGAAGATCAGTTAAATCAGTGTTATCAGGAATTAGAAGAACTTAAGTTACAACTTCATGTAAGTGTTAACTTATATTTTATATAACTTAATAACATGACAACATACATTGTATCATACAATTTGTGTGTTACCTTTCACTATTGAAGGGGTAAGAAGCTAAAGGGTACAAGTGCATTTTAGCATGAAAATAAGTTAAGTGCGGAATTGGGTAGTTTGAGTCCAAATATTTATAAAATTTTTCTCATAACGTGAAAATTTTACGAGTTCTGCATGTTGATTAATACAAACAACAATATTGAAACAAGCATCCAGATTTTTGTATATAGCAAAAATTTAACAGTTAATAACTCAGCTTCTTTTTTTGCACTTGTACCCCTTAAATTGTTATGTTTCATTATGAAACCAGCAAGCGGCAGAGGATTTAATGTATAGGGTGGGCCATACAAAATTAGCGTTCTTGAATAAAATTTAACAGAATTAAAAATGATGAAGTAAGTAGTCATAAGAATTTGACCCCCCTCTGCATACTGACGTGATATATGAACGACCCCTTGAGGGTCAAATTACCGTCCTGAAGCAACTTGTTTCCAAATTTGGTCAAATAATACATACTTGTTCTCTTGGTGATGTTTTTTTAAACTAAACTAAAGTATATCCAAAATAAAGCGGTTACGGACCTGTTTTTCCTTAAAATCATCCAAGGACTGAGCCCATTCTGCATTAGCATTCAATTAAGAAACACCCTGTATAATTAAATAGATATAATATCTACATGCGGATGCGCCGTAATTTAATAAGAAAAACAAAATTTGGTGATTTTTGTTTAAATCTGGTGACTTCATGTAAAAAAAAATGTTTCACCTGGCAACCCTGCCCGATGTAGGCTTCAAAATCTTGCAATTCCGGTAAGAAAAAATATAACATTGTTGTGTATGAACTTTGTGGTCTTAAATTTCTAATAAACGCTATTTTTTTACTCTTTCTACTACAATCCTGCCCATACTGCCTGCATAATTTTTACAGACATGGTAAATTTAAAACCGCCTATCTTTATGACCCACCCGATATTATAAATAAAATTTAGTAATTTTTTTAGTTTTAACATTTGTGACGCGCTCCAAGAAAATAGACCTAAGCATCCAAAAATCGATTTGTGGATTATGATCGTTATAGATTAATTAAAGACTTCTCTTTAATTATCCCAAGTCGGAAATGATTTTCCTTGAATATTTACATTCTCCTGTTGTCCAGCGCGGTCGCCTGTTTTTTTCCTTTCTCCTCTATATTTAGCGCTGGGACGCTTAGATCCCTTTTTTAGGAGGGCGCCACATTTATTTAATTTAAATTGTACTACTAAAATTTAAAAAAGTACTCCTGTCAATACTCCAGTTATCTTATAGTAAATCCAAAGAATAATACACATTTAACTAAAGTGTTTTAAGTTTTATTAAATAATTTTTTGTTATACATCTTAAGATCTGCAAATTTTGTACTCTTTGTTTACGGATTTGCATTAATTAATGCAGTTTTTCCTGGAAATCGCAGGTTATTGACCTTTTAACCTTATTAAAATAATTATCAAAATGCGGGTACATACTTTCTTTTAAATTATATACAACTCTTTAAAAATATATTATGAATAATTTATTTTGTCCTAATTAAAATTATCTATATAAAAAATAAGAATATAAACTGTAATAAGTAAACAAGCGGCTAGGTAAAGCTCACGGGAGGAATTGGTGCCAAACTTGTTGTCAAGTTTAGACTGATGCGCTGTTGCCACAATGAACGAGAATTGACAAAAAGGTGTACAAAAAAAGTAAATTATAGAATGTATATTATTATACTCTGTGTCTATTCTCACGCTAACGTGAACACAATTTAATTTTTATTCTCACGCTAACGTCAAAATTTTAAGATTTTATGTTACGATAAAACTAAAACAAAAAAAACAACCCAACCCAAATACTTTTTAACAAAAGAACAATAAATTTATAAAATAAAAAAAGTTCGACAACTCTGAGTATCTAAAACAATTTAATTTTTATTCTCACGCTAACGTCAAAATTTTAAGATTTTATGTTACGATAAAACAAACCAACCAACCCAACCCAACACTTTTTAACAAATAAACAACAAACTCATAAAATAAATAAATAAAAAAAGTTCGACAACTTCTAAGTATCAAACCCGGTACCTCTCGCATGCTAAGCGACCGCCCTACCATCTGAGCTATCCAGCTTTACGGCAAATTTATAACGCTCGGGAAATAAAAACGGATTTACAGTGTGTGACGTCAGTCGGGATCAAATACGAGCACCATTTCCTCCCGTAATTACGTAAGCTTTACCTAGCCGCTTATAATAAGTAATATTTTAAATTTTAGGATGCCAAATATGACGATGGTTTTTCACACAAATCTGATCCGACTGGAATGATATTTAATCATATGTTACCACTACATGACACTGATAGCCTCAATAATATTAAATTAATTCAAGAAAAATGCATTTCCCTTGAAAAAGAGGTAGGTACAAGGTAAAGTGGGGAAATCTACATTTAGACTATAGTAAAAGTATTATTCTGTTAATTCTGTTAATTTTTATAATTTACATAAGTGCAGGATGTCCAAAAGTCGCGCACCACCTTGTAGGTGTATGAAGTGTTGTGAAAACTACGATTTTGATCGTATTTGTACAATTATCTTTTTGTCTGTACGATGTACGATTCATTATGCCAAATCGTATGCTTAAATACGATTTGGCATAATGAATCGTACATCGTACAGACAAAAAGATAATTGTGCTATAATAGCAATTCTTTGCATTTAAATTTCAAATTTGAATAAATTTCATAGGTTTACTATTTTTAGTAATATACGTAAATGCGGCGATGTGCACCCTGTCGCTCTGTCATATTACATATGTTTGACTATGATTACACACAAAGATTCTGTTTAAGTATTATATTTTCAGCCTTAATAAAGTGGCCTTATAATAACATTTAATATATTAAATTAAGTTTTTAATCCTGCTATAGCAGGATTAAAAACTTAATTTAATATTCATGTTCGTTGTCAAGGGTTTACCAATAGAGATTATATGTTATTAAATTGATAGAATAATCAAAACTTGTATTCCCAGTTACCTTTATAATAAAATAATATATTTTATTTCTGGTTTATATATATTTTGTATTCTATAATCCAAATTGTGTGCATCTAATTTAATTTGATTTAATTATATTTTATTTTCCTTTATGATATCTGTACAATTCTCTCTTAATGTTTGTTATTAGTTTTATTAAGTAGCTCTGGGTTAAGTGGTAGAGCAGGGGATAATTTTTGTATATATCTGAACTTCGCCCAGATGTGTAAATTTTGTAATGTTAGTAACGTAAAAAATAAATAAAGACATTTATTATTATTATAAGGCGGCTATACTCGTATTTGAGATAGTAAAAATGTCATTAGGTGACATTTGTGTTCAGTACAGATTGACAATTCACCATGACATTCACGGTTCAACAAGGTTTTGTTATTATACAAAAGTTTAATAAAAATAATCGTTCTTTTGTTCAAACTCAACGTTATCTTCGTGAACATTAGAGTCTACATAATCTACCTTCTGTGCTTGCAATTCGTTGAATCGTGGAAAAATTTGAAGAAAATATTTATGCTGTAAGAGCTAGTGTTGCAGAAAATGCAAATCGGTCGATTAATCGACGTTCTCAAGAACGGCCTTTCAAGAATGACGAGCGTATTTTGAGAAAAGATTTGGGGTAACATCCATATAAGATTGTGCTGACTTAAGAACTAAAGCCACTTGATCATCAAATTGGGCGCTAGTGCCACTTGAAATAAACCTGTTTTTTTTAATCATCTTTTCAGATGAAATAAACCTGATTTTTTCAAAAAAAATCATCTTTTCAGATGAAGCTCATTTTTGTTTGGACGTCTTTGTAAACAAGCAAAATTGTCATTTTTGGTGTGAAAACAATAAAAAAAAAGCCTTTGCATGTGTGGTTATCGATTCATCAGGGCCGTAGCGAGGCTGGTGCAGGCGGTGCGGTGCACCAGGGCCCCCGACCTCAAAGGGGCCCCCAAAACTAAAAAGTTTTACTAAAAAATCGTAATTTTCGATATCCTATCCTATCCTAAAGTTTTGCACCGGGGCCCCTGAGTCCGTCGCTACGGCCCTGCGATTCATGTTAACAAATTTTCATGGTCACACTTGAATAAAATTGATTTGGAGGACATGTGGTTCTAAGAAGACAGTTGCTAACCAAACAATCGAATTATTGGCAGAAAAGTTTAACGAGTAAGTAATTTCAGGAAATGGGCCTGTTCATTGGTCTCCACTAAGTTGTGATTTAACACCCTTACTAAGGGTCCCTTGGCTTTCTTTTTGTGGAGCTATGTTAAAGCATTGGTGTATGCAAAAAACCACAAACAATTCAGGAACATAGCGAATGCAATTCGTGGGTTTAATGCTAAATTATTTAATGAACTGAACATTGGGTTCATCGAATTGCTTGTGCCAACATATGATGTGTTATCCAGCACGTAATTGTCATTTGTTATACTTTCAAATAAAAATTTTTTTGCCTATCTCAAATATGTTGTATTTTATTAAGTTTTAAAAACATATCGTTCTTATTGGGAAACCCTATATTTGACAACTTTTGGGTGTTGTACGGCTGTATAAGTGGTGTACGATTGGAATACGATGATTTTTGGTGTCCGGTAAGATTATTATTTTTTCGCAAGTTGGCAACACTGTGTGTAGGATCTACAGACTCTCGGGAATACCACAAAATTGTTTAATAAATTTCAACCTTTTTTATTTAAAAAGAAATAAGATCGTAAACACTGAGTTTATAAACTTAAAAATAATAGGTTAACCTTGTCTATTGTTTGAAGTCTTGTATAGACTAGGCCAATATACATGAAGTTTAAAGAATGGTTTCATAGGAATTAATGTATATAGAAAAATGTGTGAATATAATAAATTTTATCGGCGGCTCCGCATCGGCTCGGCGGACCAGACGTCTAGTTTAAACCCAAGGTTACATGTTACTTATTAACATGTAATTTGTAATAGTATTTTGTTAAACAAATCAGAAAGTTGGCCGTTTCCATGAGGATGAAATATTGCGACACGAGCTGAAGGCGAGTAATTCATACGAATGGAAGTGGCCATTTCTCATAAGTTAAACACTATTTTTTAATTTTTTTTAAAGAATTTAGTACAATTTTGTGTAATCCGCTTTGCCAACTGCACGAACCGAAACTTTACCAAAACAGCATACGACAATCAGCGCCGCTGGTGGTCAAAAAAAGACTTAATTTGTGCGATTTAGAGGGCAGGTTTCACCTATTAAGTTCGGGCTTGTGTAGGCTTCATGATAACTAAAAGCTGTTATTTTCAAAGCTAGGTAATTATAACGATAAAAAATAATTTAAGACAGGAATAGGTACTAATAAATACACGTCAGTTTTATCATTAAATTAAGTTTTTAATTAACGATTTTCAGCTCTTGAATGCCTAATCTATGGATTTTCATTTATTACGAAAAAAAATATTGTAATAATAATAATTATTGGAAATTGAATTACAATTTCGCAAATTAATCACTAAATAGCTATTTAGTTGAAATATAATACATATTTAAATACAATAATCAAAATAAGTAAAATGGTTAAAATTTTCGAGGAGGCTAAGTAAGCCTCCTTTGCCTCCCCTGACGAGCCGTCAAACCAGGTTTTCTTTGCCATTATTTATTTTGTTCGCAATAGTCCCAATTTTGACCTTATCAATTATACCTTTCTACTAAATTCTTTGGCGGAATTTTGGCTGTAATAATAATAAGTTCTAACATTTGCAAAAGAGTAAACCAATTAAAAAATTACTAATGTACTTACTCATCTAAATTTAATAACTTTTAGGTATTAAAGGATAATTAAAGGTTTTTATGTTTTATGTACAGAAAACATTTGCCACTTTCCCATTAACTTGATGTTGGTAATTGGCATTATGGTAAAATATACAAATATTACTCTGAAAAGGGCTATTGCAAGACGAATTTTATCAAAATTAATATTTTTATTAAAAAAATCCTGTAAATGCCCAGTTTACAAAAGCTTTGGCTAAAAATGATATTATTAATGCGTAGACATGTATTTGCTGGAAGGTGCGCGATTTTTAGGACACCCTGTATAGATAATATTTGTTTACATTATGTTTTTGTTTAAATTTTTTTAATGTTATTCTTAGCTTTTTTATATTTTAATTTTGTATTGTTTTAGTTAAATAATGAAAAGGAAAACTGCGCTTCAATACAAATTTTATTAGACCAAGCTGAATCTGCACAGCATAAATTAAAAGTGTTGGAACATGAAAATAAAGAAAAAGATATTGTTATTGTGAATTTTAAAGAAGATCTTGAAAATATACGTAAGAAAAACCAAGAATACAGTGATTTAATCAAGGATTTAGAAGTAAAACTGGTTCAAAGTAATAACGAGAATCAACATTTAATAAAAGAACTAGAAGAAAACACTTCACAGATAGGCGAATTTAAAGGTCAAGTTAATGAACTTAAAAAAATGCACTCAAATTTAAGACTTGAGATTGAAAGAGAGCAAAAGAAATCTGAACGAGCTAAAATGTTTAGTGACATTAGAATATCTGAATTAGAAGCTGAAGCTGAAAAGCATAAGGCAAAAGTACGAGAATTAAATGGAAAACTTGATTTTGCTCAACATGAACTAAAGAAAAACAAAAACCTTGCTGTATCTAGTTGTCAAGTTCAAAAAACTAACACATCAAATACTGATGAAAATTTTTCAGATTCGAACCCAGCAACACTTGACCGAACTCCGCAAAAGGATGCATTATCTTTATCATTAAAATCCTCACATTCAACCCCAGAAAAATTCGATGTATCACAACTTGAGCAACTTTTACTTGGAGCTGGTGAAAGTGCCACAGTTCAACAAATTCTTAGTGGTGTAAATTTACTTAAAAATGATCATTCCATACAAAAACAAAAAGTCATAAAACTTAAAGCTGAGCAAATCAAAGCCTGTGAAATCATCAAGAGCATGATAGCATCGAGAAATAAATTAAACGACGAAAATATTTTACTTAAGAAGAAATATGAAATATGTGAGAAGAAGCTATTGGAAGCCTGTAACAATAAGAAGCCATTATACCAGCAACTATCGGATTTGAAAATTACGGCCATTAATTCTGACGAGGTACTTAATACATTTAATCATAGAATAAAAAAGTAGCTGATTTTAGTTATTCTGCTTTTGCTATGCATGTTGTATACTCTTACTTATAGCTTTGCCGTAGTTTTGCTTTTTTATAACAAAAACATTAATATACTTACCTCTTTAGTTAATTTAATATTAGATAATTATTTAATTTTAATTTATGTTTAGTAAGTAAATAAATTATTTTTACCATATTCACAATTATCCACAGTTATTATACCTTTACACAAATGCTTAGTTAAGCACAATGATATAAGGCCAATATTTAAAATTAAACCAGTTTAAAAAATGCATATTATATTCATGTGGCAATCATACTAAATTTACTGCGTAAGGGAATAGTTACTGGTAAAAGATGTTTAATAATAAGGAAACCATGGTCTTTCTGTCAGCTATTCCTAAAGTTACAATAATGGTTTTAATGAGTTAAAGCTACACACTATTTTAAAGTTGCGCCAATTTGAAATGTTTACTATTTTTGTAGGATATAATATTTTAGTGGTCAAAAGTAATGGGACGAAAAGCAATAGTAAGTGAAAATAATAAAAAAAACTTCACTAATCCAAAAATTTATTTTTGAGTTTTTAAATAATTTTTTAATAAGATGACATGGCGGCACAAAGTTTGGGAATTTGTTTTTTTAGGGCGAAAAATTTAAATTAGTTTAAAATAGTTTCGATCTTGTTAGAAGAGGGCGCCACCCACGTACAATTATATATATCGCGTTTTTGGTAGCGCGATAATTTCTTTGGATTTTTATTGCGAAACAAGAAAATTTGACATCTAAAATTGACTTCAGTAGGATATTAAGTCTTGACAAATCAGGGCTTGATCTTGACACCAATCTAACTTAAAAATTGCAGTATTATTTGTTAAAGTCAATCCAAATGAAAACACCAAAAATGAATTTAAAAGTGCGCTGCATGATTTTTTATTTTAAAACTCTCGGTGGCAATTATTGAAACGATTGTAATTTTATTTTACTGCCTAGAAGTATGTTTTTAATATTAATTATTAATATCTAATTAGTTCATCTCATAAAATAATGGTAAACCACTAAAGATTTGTAATAATTTCTCAATTTTTGAAACTTTTGTCTGGCTCCTTCTACTTAATCTAGAAAGTTGATTTTTTTCAGGTATCAAGTACTTATACAATAGAAAACGTATCGATTATTTTAAGTTTCTAGACTATCATTTTCTTTATATAAAAAATTATTGAAACTTGATAAATTTCCAAATTAGCCAATTTTGCCCTCAGAAATCATTATGTTAAGGAAAAAATAAAAACCTGAAACTTTCAGGAAATGTAGTCCCCACCTTTATCTTTTCAGTCCAATTAGTCTTGTTTTGTTATTTTTATCCATGTAAAAGATATGCGTTAAAGAAGTATCGCTAGTAGCGCGACCATTCGGGTATTATCATCGTAACAAAAGTACAACTTTTAATAATCAGCTGTCAAACGCTTATGTTACAAACGAGTGTTTTTGAGAATAAAGCCGGAAAATGTTAAAAAATATCGGACAAAAAACCGTGGCACGATTTGTTGTGTTGTTGGGTGTATTTCGAGAGGAAATCCTGGGTTGAGTTTTGGGTAAAGGGCTTGACAAGGTAGAGGGAACTTTTTTTATTTACATTTTTGGGCTCAGAAATATAGGTAGGTACTATTAAACATAAAAGAAAATGAAATGGAGGGACCAAAGGGCAACAACATGGGTATTTCAAATTGAATATACATATTATAATATTATTATAAGAAAGGCATTTTATAAGAAAATAAAAAATACACCCTGTAGGTAAAAACAATTGTTTTAGCTTGAAAGCAAAAACAGGCACAGTGTATGAAACTATTTTTTTTTATTTTTGGTTCAAATTGTTTTTATCATTTGTAATATTTATTTGACAAATAATTAAAAATATGCTCTAAAACCATATTTTTATTTTTAAAATAAAATAAACGGTAAAAAAATCTAGACTACACCTTTTCAAACAGTATTTGAGAAATTATCATTTAAATTTTTGAAAGCGTCAATTGTATTTTAGTCTTAGCAAATGAATTGTAGAAGATATCATTTGTATTTTCTAACAGTGAATTAGATTTGCGAATCAGTCAAATGTATTTTAGCCTAATCAAATGGATTTTGGAAAGCATCAGATGTATTTTATCCTTATCATATGGATTTTGGATAACGTCAAATGTATTCTCGAACTATCAAATCAATTTTATAAAGCATCAAATGAATTTTTGAAATCATCATTTGTATTTTCGATGGCATTATGTTATTTTTGTCAAAATACATCATTTGACAGCTGTGTAAAATTTATGACCTCGCTGTATCTCAACCTCTAAGTTGCGTGATAGATTAAGTAAATACAGGTTGTCCCGAAATTACATAGACATTGGGCCGGTTTTTCAATCGTTGGTTAAGTTTATTTTACGGTTAACTTTCTTAGATACTATTGTGTTAACAATAGTATCTAAGGAAATTAATCGTATGATAAACTTAACCAACGATTGAAAAACTGGCCCATTATCTTTTTAACGACGTTATCGGCGACCGAAAGTAATCTAAACATGTTGACGCATACATCCAAATGCTCACCGTTTTTGCGATACAGGGTGATTTCCTGTTGATATTTTTTGACAATAATTTGAATATCTTTACAGATAAATATTTACGATTTGATACAAATCTCCAAATTTTTATTCACGTTCACGTTCAGAGACGGTTAAAACAATGGAAGCCTTGTGACTATAATTCTGCGTTACTTTTATGTTTTTGGAATTCTTGACTTTGGAGCTGCAGAATATGAAAAAAGAAGATTTTTTTAATTAAATTAATTTTAACTTAGTTAATTAATTATCTGCATATGATTACCTTTCTCTACATAGAAAAGATCATTATGTAGAAAATTTCGATATTTTATATTCTCTTGAATGGCTCAAGACCGTACCTAGTAGGTATCAGTAACAACCAAAAAATGAGAAATCTGTCATTTCTGACTTTTAACCCCAGTTTCATGTTTAGCCACCAGGAGCGCGTTCAGATTGATTGCCGGAATTAATGTAAACGCGCTCCAGACTATAGCTATCTAAAATTCATATCACCTTTTCGAAACTACATATGATTAAGCTAAAATACATATGATTATTTCTTAAATTAAATTTACTAACCGAAACTACTTTTGACGGAGCCTCATAATCATTTGACTATTCTCATTTACAATTGACGATATCGATAATTAAATTAATAGCTCTAAACTACATATGATATTTTCTAAAATACTTTTTTTATTTCTAAAGTTGAATTGATTTAAACCCAAATACTAATAACATTTCGAAACTACATTTAAAGCTTTCGAATATACTGTTGGAAAAGGTGTAGAACTGCAACAGTTAAATTTTAAAATTTGTGCACCTATATTTTTCAATATAAATTATTTAAATAACAAAGTGTATAAGGTGTGCATAATTTTTTTCATTTCATTTTAGAAAATCAGGGATTCTTGCCCCATTTCCACTAATTGGGTAGCAAGGATTTTGTTCAGTGGGGCAGGCAAGATTAAACTAATTTAAGTCCTATTTGTCGATTTTTAAATGTTCTCAGTTTAATTAATACAGAGTTTTCCGAGAATGGCGCACTAATAATATACCACGCACAGTAGGGTTAAGAACAAAATTATACAAAAAACCGAGTTTTTTAGTAGGCTTTAAACATCTTCAATTTGTTTTTTTTTTCAAGCATACAATAATTTTCATATTATAAGACTTCATAATAATACTAGTTCAAAGGTCAAATTATTATTAAACTCCGTACAGATATAAAGCTAAAATGTAATCATGTGAGTTAAACCTAACCTAAAAATGATGCTACAAATCTAAAGAAATTCTTGAATTAAATGCTTGAAAAAAAATAGTATTTAAAACTCGGCCGATAAAGCTTATTAATGGCCTCGCACTAAATTTACTGCCTCGGCAGTGATATGTATGCTCGGCGATGTGCTTTATCCGCCTGGTTATAATAAACTAATTTTTTAAGAATATTTTTAGACAGTTCAATTCTATTGTCAATTGTTAATTATACCGAAAGGGACAAGTACCTTACCTTGATTCTACTGAAAGTGAAAGATAGTATCTTTAGGTATCTTTAAGATACCTAACCTCTTATATACATATAATATACGTCTTAGATTAATACCACAAGTACGCCATTTTTGGCACACACTGTATAAATTAAATTGAGAACATTTATTTTTAAAGGAGTACTTAATACAAAGATTAAATATATAAAAAAGTATATTTTATCTTTGGTAACTTTTAAATCTATTAATTTTATCCTATTTTAGTATTTGTAAATAGTAAAAAAACATTTTATTTTTGACAGTATTCTACGCTATAGATTAGATATTATTTGAAAAATTTATTTTAGGAAATGTTATTAAACACATTTATTTAATAAAACCTCTGAACTCAAAAATAATATTCCCGTTCCTTATTTATATCTATTTTTGCCATTAAAACCTCATATTTACATTTTTAGTACTTAAATTAAACTAGAAATACACATGTACTAACAAAGCCAAACTGCTCACAAACTTCGTGTTTGAATTCTCCGGGTGTATTTTTAGAAATCGTTCGGTAGTCTTGAGAAATTCATTTTGGTTCGTGTGCTTAAAGTAAACGATGTCATATTTAACTTTAAATATTATCTCTTTATTTATTATAATTAAGAAAATGTATTATAAATAAAAAATGTTTTCATGCCTTTGTGTATCATCTGAGGTAAGACCATGGAATAAATTTGATTGTATTACTAACATTGATGAGAAAAAAATGATTGCATGGATTGCACAAATGTAAATTGGGTGAGATATTATTCTTAAATTTTTTCTATAGTTTTATGTCAATGGTTTTAAAATCTAAAAAATAACTTAAGCCAACAAAATGATCCTTTGTTTATTTGCAAATTTTTACTCATTATATTCCATTATACACTATCAACTTTGTCCAAGTTAAAATAAGTTTAAAAATTAAATTTAGCGGCGATTTTAATTTTATTCATACACGACCTTATTTCAATGCCTTTGGCCAATTTAATCCTGATAATCTTTTAATTAATATTAAACATTAATATAATGACATTGTGACATTTTTTCAATAATGTACCTACACAATATAAAAACAAATAAGGTCATAAAAAAATAAGAAGTTCTACTACAGTTTTAACATGCCTGTTTTTGTATGTTATTCTTGGTTTATTATTATTGCATGCAAGGTCGGATTCCTTGTGTAAAAAATCAAATTATTTATTTATTAAGTATAAAGTTAAAATTATGATATAAACATATCATGGTTAAAATTATCAGACAGAATCGAAAAAAATGTTTTTAAGTAATTATAAGTCTTTCCGCTTTTGAGAAAGTTAGTAAAACGATTAATTAATTATCAAATATTAACTTGGTCACAGAGACTACAGTCTCTGCTTGTTCAATTACAACTTGTAATGCAAATTGTATACAAAAACATAATAAATATTATACATTCTTTTAAAAAAGTGTAATTGAGGGCAGCGTTAAAGATATTTAAATATATATTTATTGTCTATGATTTAAATATATAAAAAAATTAAGGTAATATATTATAATAATTGTAGATGTTTTTAACGTAGAGTTAAAAATATTGGGTTTTGTGTAACTAATTAAACGTTACTAAACGTATTAGATTTTTAATCAAATACGGTAAGAAGGACCATTGTTGCTATAGGTTATAATTAAAATGAAAAAAATACCCTATAGACATGTATTTAGTTATTTACTTTGAAAATCATGCTTTTAACACAATAAAAGGACAATTTAAAAATAATAAGAAGTTAAATTCCAAGTATCCTTCTATGTATCTTTTTTATTTGAAAAGCAAATTTATTAAAATTGCATTAGAAAATTAAAAAATAAATCAGCAGTTCTTAAATAAACGTGTCAAAACCAAAAATCGATAAAACTTGCTAAAGACATGCTGGAACAAGTAAATTCCGACCCCGCATTCATGAACCGCATCATTATATATATAGCCCCTGCGATTTTTTCTTCATAGAGAAAAACAATATCGCTGAAAGAGCTAAGGCCAATTTAGTTAATCAACAGTTTTACACAAACTGCTTTATCGATTATAATCGATAATTATCGATATACATGTATTTTGCAAAACGATTTTATTTCGTTAAGAATATATTTTTTAAGGGGAAAAACTTTTTAAATGTGTAATTCAATTTTGTTCAGTTTAATTAGGACCCATAACTCCAATACCAGTGACCAATGATTATTTAAAAAAGTATATATCTGTACCTCAGAGTCAAAGTAGGGCAAGTCCTGATTTTGAAGGAGAGCCTTTTAAAGATTTACAACGCGTAATTTTCATTTGCGTTGTTGTTTAATGCTTGATATCTATAAAACCTACAGAATATTCTATGGGTTTAAACTAAACCCATAGAATATTCTGTTCAATAGAAATCAAGCTTTAAACAACAATGCAAAGATGAAAAATCCGCGTTTCGAAACTCCTTTGTATATTAGGGTGCTTCAAAAAATAAAATTTAATTTTTTTTTTGCTCTTACCCTCTCAAATGTTTCTATTTAATATAAAAAAAAAATCCTCACCAAATATGGGCGTTCCAGCTCACCTCTAAGAGGTCGCTGTTTTTATTTTAGTTTCCCATTTAATTAACATGGGAAAAAATAATTTTGTTTGGAATTTTATACCTCTGTATCAAAGTAACTTATGGCAATGATCATTGCAGTTTCTTATATAAAATGTAACGCTCTACAAAAATGGTCTCTTATTATTTTTCGATAAATTGATTTCTTCTAGAGTTATTCGAGGTCAAAGTTTGATTAACATCAAATTTCCTGTTTTTTTTTTATTTTAATGTATATACGAATTTAAATGTTTGCATGTAAAAAAACGGTTTTATCACAATCGCGAAAAAGGGTTAATAATTATTGAGCAAAATGATGGTCATTTTTTGATTAGGCGCACCCAGATTTTTATATATAAGTAGTTGACTACCCTGCAGCAAATGAAAATTTTATTTTGTCTGGCTGTGTAATTTTTGTATTAAAATATCTTTAACACGGTGTTTTTAAATGGAAAATTCCCGGTACTTTTTTGATAGAATGTAAAAAAAATTATAAATAAAATGAGACAGGGGTGTACATCTGTTTCACAGGAAGAAAGGAAACGTTTATTATAAATGTTTTCATATTTCCACCCAAGGAATCTGACCTAAAAAATATTAATTAATCGCCTGTACAAGTAATATATGTTCCTGTTAATAGAAATCCATGGCAGAATCACCAAGTGAGGACCTCTCGGAGCATTATAAAGCTTTAAGTAATGAGCTTGAAGCTAAGATAGAGGTACGTTTTAATATTCATTTTGAATAAAAGTATTAATTAACCATTTATTTTAGCTACTAAAAGTAACATTGGAAGCTAAAGATTTACAAATATTAAATTTAAAGACCGAACTCGAAGAAGTTTTTAAATGCTTGGCGGAAAAAGAAAACAAAGTAGTAGATCTAGAATTTGAATTGTTATCCATAAATAATAATGAAAATAGCAGGTTTGAGCTATCGACAGAAAAAACTGATGTTGGCACAGAAAAGATTGTAGCTACTTTAAAAACAAAATTGGAAAATAAAGATAAAGAAATAGACAGACTAAATACTGAATTAAGAAAATGTAACTGCTATTTGCAAGAAATTGTAAATAAAGAACTTTGGGAAAAAAATCGAGAAATTGAGAAAATGCACAACAAACAATCAAGTTTACCTGAGATTGCCAAGCTTAAAGAAGAATTAGAAGTTAAGGACTCTCAACTCAGGCTACTTAAGGAGACAATTAATGAGCTTGGGTTAGATATTCCAATACCAGGTAATGCGGGAGACACTGATTTAAAAAATGTTAATGCCAATCACAATTTGTTAGCTAGAAATATTCAAAAAGAAAAACCTGAATTAAATCAACTTTTAGATGAACTAAAAGATCAAAATAATATTTTATCAACAGAATTGGAGCATTACAAAAAACTATATGAAGATACTCATGAAGCCAGTGCTATTTTAAGCCAAAGATTAGAGGAACTAGCAATATTTTTGGATTCTCTGCTCAAAAACAAATCAGTTTTAGGATTTTTAGGTAATTACAACAAAAAAAGAGTACGTGAAATTGTCGACAATAGTCTAGAACTATCCCGATCCTTTACAATGAGTTTAATGGTAAATCCAGAACAAAGCCTAGCTCAACTATCAAATATAACTGCTTTATTAAACGGATCTATTTTACAAGACCTGAGCCTTAACAATATAGAAGATGAGTCTACATTAAGTATTAATCCTAGCCAAATAACCTTGACATATCACAGCCATTTGAATAAACCAAACCAAGTTTTACAAGAACGTGTCCAAGAGCAACAAATAATAACTACATTACGTGAGCAAATAACAAACTTAAAATACGCATTACAATTAAGGGATCATGAACTGAACAGGATTAACAATATAAAAGAATTCTCAGATAAAATGAACGTGTTTGATGAAAAGAAATCAAGCCACAAATTAAATTCCAAATTAAAAAAGGAATTTAACATTACAATGCCAATGCAAACTGAAAACCAATCCGAATCCGAATCATGGTCAGAACCTGATATAAACGTTTCAAAAGAAAGAATTGGTTTAAGTAACACATTGCCTAATTTTGGAACAAAAAAGACTGATTTATCAACAGAAGATTCATTTAGTGAAAAAACATCTTCTAGATATAATACAAAAAGTATATCTGATTTATACAAGCAAATTCATAATTTAAAACGTGAACTACATTCAAAGAATGAAGAACTAATTAATGTACAAATCAGTGTAGAAAAAACGGTTAATACCTTAGAAAATCAAATTAAGGTTTCTGAAGAAAAGTGTGCAAATATGCAAATTTTACTTAAAGATGTTACTAAATCCAAAACTAAATTAGAAGAATCCATGGTTCAAAAGGATAAAGAAACCCAAGATAAAATAAATCAGTTACAAATGGAAAAAGAAAGTCTGTTAAAAACATCACAGGAATTTGAGGTTCAAGCTAATAAAGCCAAACAGGAATTAAAATCATACGAAAATAAACTTACAAAGGTAAATGAAGAATGGGAATTAGTAAAAATAAGACTTCGGCAAGATTATGAAGAATATACTGCTAAAAAGTTAAAAAATGCAGAAGAGGCGTATTTAAAACGAATTAAAGAAGTAGAGGATAATTCAAATTCCAAGATGGTAAAATTGGAAAATAAAATAAAAGAAATACATGAAACTAATGCTAAACATTTCGTTCAAAAATCATACTTGGATAAAGCATATTTGGACTTGCAAGAAAAGGTGCATCAAATTGAGAGCTTAAATAACGATATTGTTTCATATAAAGACAAAATAACTTCTCTTGAAACACAGAAAAAAGATTTACATGAATTATATAATAATTCTTTAATTAAAGTTGACACTATTTACAAGGAATTAAACATACAAAAGGTACAATATTCTGAATTACTTTTAGAAAAAATTAAGTTGTCCAATGAAAGAGTTGAGTTGGAAGAAAAACTTGGTTCAATGTCAGTGGCAGAATTAGAAATGAATGAACAATTTGAAGAAATTCAAAATGAGATGGAAATAATTAAACAAAGTTATCAACAACAGTGTACAGCGCTTCAAAATCAAAAATCAATATTGGAAGTTAAAGTAAGCGAATTGGAATCTATTAATGCTGAATTACACAATCGGCTAGCTAAACTTCAATTGACCACAACTGCTAAACACAATGTGTCAATACCAAGCTGCTTATCAAACAAAAAACACAATTCATTCGGACAGCAATACTTGGATGGAGTGAATGCAGAAGAATGCAATACCATAAGACCATTTAACCAAACGGCACCGCCTGCTATACAACCGGTTGATATTCAAAGACTAGAAGCAAACTCAAGTCCTGACTTGGGTATAGAAAGTGATCAAGGAAGATTTTCCAGTTTAGAGACTCACGGTAATGTTCCCAGACCAATTTTACAAACAATTGAACTTACTGAATCAATGAACAATCTTTTAGATGCAGAAAACGTACAATATGACGCAATTAATTGTGGTAAGTAATTTTTATGACGATAAAAATAGCAGTTACACTATAATAGTAATAGTTTACAACCATACATAAATTAGTCAAACTAATTTCTTTAAATAAAACAAAACAAAGTATTACAATATCATATTGTAATTGTAGTGGCGGCTGGTGGATTTTGGGTATAGCAATATCTCAGTTGTTAGACATGGGACCCACACCAAATTTATAATAGTTTATAATGACATTAAATAAACAAGTTCGGCGCAAACAGAATTTAAATTGAAGTTTGCGAAAAAAAGTTAGCTTTCCTGTTGTCTCACCTGCCTCCAGGCCCCCCTATTTGAGATAATTCAAATTAAAGTGGTGCAATTTATTATCTACTATAATTATCGAAAAATTTAAAATTTTATTTAAAAAATCCAAATATTACAGGTTTTATACCATTTTAAATATTTTTTTATTTTAATAAAATAAATAATAAAAATTTATAATCGAATAAAATATGTAATATTTGGATTTTTTAAATAAAATTTTAAATTTGTCGATAAATTATAGCAAATAATAAATTGCACCACTTTAATTTGAATTATTTCAAATAGGGGGGCCTGGAGGCGGGTGAGGCAACAGGAAAAACTAACTTTTTTTCGCAACTTCAATTTAAATTCTGTTTGCGCCGAATTTGTTTATTTAATGTCATTATAAACTATTATAAATTTGGTGTGGGTCCCATGTCTAATAACAGATATTGGTATACATAAAATCCACCGCCACTGTCAATATGTCATTTACAAAAAACACAGTAATAATAATACAATAATAATGATAATAATGTGGAGACTGCCACACCATATATGGTATACATCTAAGCAATCACTAAGTGAGTAAATCTGGGATTTAAAAGATCTTATGAATAATTATAATAATATTATAATAATAATTATAATAATAATAATACCAGCTACCATTAATTAACTATGTTGATCAAGTTTTATTTTATTTAATTTTAATTTTACCTCATTTATTATTGTGTTAACTGTTATTATGTACTTAACAAAGATAGGTTTTCTAATTTGACATGTTCTATAACTGCAGTTATACATGTATGGTTCCAAGAATGAAAATAAATTTGATTTCGTTTGATTTAAACCAAATTCCCTTGAAATTTGCCCACAAACTTTAAAATCGATCATATTTCAAATTTAGTCGGTCACTTAATAGTCACTCATTTATCAAAGTAACGCCCAACTCTAATTTTAGGTAATGAAAATTGCTGCCAGAAAATATTGGACTTTTCCAAAGAAAATAATGAACTGAAAAGAAAACTGTTAAGAATGAAGAGAGCGCTTGAAGAAACTGCCAATCAACTATCACTTGCAAATCAACGAAAAAAACAGGTGGAGAAAACCATCTGTAAACAAATTCACAAAACTAGTCAAGTGTTAAAAAAGGCTAAGGCCAATTTAGATTCAGGTTCTGAAAGTGATGTTTTAAAAAAATAAGTTTTTATTATGCTATGTATATATGTATTATTAGTATTGTATATCAGTTTTTTGTATTATATTTCTATATTTATTTGTACCTAATTATAAATTAAAGTCATTTGGAACTAAAAATATTTTTTAATGTGTTACTATAGTAGTAACATAATGTTAGTAGTTGGATTAAAAAGTTTGTAAATATTTTTTTGAAAACTCCAAACAAGTGTTTATTTATAACCTTTTTGTTTAAATGGTTTTTGCATAACTAAAATAACTTGTGCCAAGTTATTAGTATTTTTTTAAATAAAATAAGTTGTTAAGGAGTTAACTGAAATGTGTTGTTTTATAAAAAATATGTAAATTTTGGGACGTCTGTATATTAGTTGTAAAGATTACATTTTTTGATATTTTTTGTGACGTCTTTAATTTCATCCTTTCTTTTATTAATACTTTTTAAGCACTGTTAGCTATAGCTATATTTATAATATTAAATCAAATATATGTTCTATAATTTGGATAAGTTATCCTAAGGAACCATATACCTAATTTGTTTATGATTGATCAACTTTTTTTTAGCATAGCATAACATAGAACTAATACTTTTTGCTACAATATTTAAAAAGTAAATATAAGATGTTCTTAAATAAAAAAATCGAAATAATGGACAAGGAAAAGTGTTAAATAATGTAAAATAAAATAACATATCTAGTTGGGTTTTCAAAATTTCTATTTGAACTATTGTTATAAAAATAATACTTTAAAAGAATAATCCATATTCAATACCTAATAATTGTTTTTTTAAATAAGCATTTTCATCATTTTAGATTATTACTGAACAATTTTTTATTTTTTTGTGACATCTTATTACAAAGACTGATAAGATAATTACATTAAACAGTCTTATTGTCTCAACCTCAATGGTTAAAAATTTATTTATATTATATTAAATAATTTTCTATCTTATGCAAACCCTAGACTTTTTTGATCAGTCCAAACTGTTACCATTTCTTTTGAATCACTATAACCATGAGAAGCAACAACAAACTCATAATTTTTTCTATAATATGTTTTTTTATGAAAACAAAACTCCTCACAATGAAATGGTTCAATTTTTGCCTTAAATGCTAATAGTGCTACATATATATCATCAAAACGAAAATGTTTTGTATAAAAACTGGCATAATACATATCCATCAATGCTTCTCTTGATAAAACATAGGCACCAGCAGTAACGTAGGGTGGCCATTTATTATATGGATATTCTTCTAAAGACACATACCATTTACTTGTGTAATGTCTTAAAGGGGAAGATTCAAATGCATATCCAGTATACAAACGAACATTTTCATTTAAATCCAGGTCGAGTTGATTAATCCTTCGTTGATGAAGTGCCTTGTTAAAATTTTTTGTAGGATTTTTTAAGTAAGTTGGATATTGGGTAGGGTATTTTATAAATCTTAAAACATTTTTTGTGGAAACATAATAATCATCATCCACAAACATGTAAAATCTTGAGTTACTACACGAGTGTATAGCCCATGTAAACCCCAACATTGTTTTTAAAGTGTTGTTGTAATAACTATCAGTAAAATTTCCTTGAACAATATCATTGTAATCTTTAGCTTCTTTATTTATGTTATTTTGAACAATATTTGATCCTTGTAATCCTAATAGGAAAACTCTTCGTATTTCGACATCTGAAAACCTTCTTTCAAATCCCCAACTTATTCTTATGGCTTCTCTGTTATGCACATTTTCTGGCGATGATTTTATGATAAAGACCAATCTTAGGTTTTTTATGTTTTCACATTTATTTTTTGGTTTAATGTTAAACTTAAAGTTATAATAATTTATGGGTAATACCTCAGGTGTTTCATTTTGTTTCAGTTTATAAATAAATTCCTCTATATTGCCCTCGTAAGGGTAATGAAATTTTTTAAAATCTTCCTCAAAGAAATGTGTAAACACTCCAAACACTAATAAAATTACATTAATAAACACAAAAAATAGAAATGGTTTAATTTTTCTTTTTATACATATTTTCATTATAACTATCTATGCAAAGTTACGATGCTTACGAAATTTCATTATTAAATTAAGATATTTAAAAATATAGATCATTTTTTTAGGTTATTCTTCTTCTTCTGGCTTGTAATTTTTAAAGCATTTTTATATGTAATAACTCGCCTATAACTATATACACTTAATTAATTGTAGGCTCAATCAACGGTTTATTTTATTAATATCAGAGATAATCTATTAATAATATATTATAGGTAATATAATATAATATATTATAGGTATTTTTTATGTTGTGTCTTATTAATGCTGCCATCTGGCGTCTGCAATTAGTATTGGTGGTTTTGTGGCTTGTGCATTGTTTATATTTGTACCCAATAAATATTAGTAAGATATATTAAAAATTAAATCAACTATCAACATTTGCTTTTATATAAATATATTTATTTAATTTGAAACCTCATCAAGTCCAGTCTTATAAATAGAGCATTGATAAACCATTAAATATGTCATTTTCCGGCCATGTTTACGCTATTGAAAGTAGGCTGTCCGGTTTATTTTAACTTTTTCTGTGAAAAATCGTGTTTTAGTGATTTTTAAGTGCGGTTTTTAAATCTACTAAACAATGGATTCCACAGATAGAGGTATGCATTTGTTCTTATAAACTTTAAGGTAATATGTCTACGCCATATGAAAAAGGCAATGGCAAAGTCAGGGTCGACCTATTTGGTTCACTGACCGTATTTATTATACTTAAATCATTTGTTTCAACAATAAAATAACGATGTTTATACTAAAAATACTTAGGTAGTGTTGTTTTTATACTGCAAAAGCAACTTCTTAAATTATCTTATTCTAAAGAAATTATTCATTAATTGTTGATGATACAATCATACCTATGTGCCTACCAAGGTGCCTACATTAAAAATAACAAAATCATGGACCCATGGTGGGTAACCCACATGTACCTACAACCATGATATAAAGAAAATTTTCTTTGGATCATGGACCATGGGTACCTATATAGGATTTTGTTATTAATTCAGGTATTCTACATATTTGTAGACAAACTTAGTAAATTAAAATACATGATATTATTGGTACCTAAGTATTTTAGATTTTATGTGCATTTTTGTAACCAAAGAATAAAAATCTACCATAACACACACTCAATGGATATTCCAAGGTGTTTTTCTCAAAATTTTCTCAAATTTTTGTTGTTAAGAACCACAATTAGACAAATAAGTTGATAGGTTTAAGCTTTGTTGTTAACTACCTATTTAAAGCCTGTATTACAGTCTGCGATTTTTCTTGCAGCAATTTTTCTTGCATGCAAGTCTGACTGACACTTTGCAATTACAATTTCAACTTGCATGATACCAACCAAAGAAAAATTATAAAGTACAATTAAAATTAAACTTAGCTCCTGTCACACGACATTATAATATAATATATGTAATAATAATAATAATAATAACGTCTTTATTGAAATAAGAAAATACACTATTCCAAATGGCGGAATTTGAATTTAAACATTAAAAATGTAAAAATTCATTCTTATGCCGGTTTTCCACCAAACGGACAAAACAAAAACAAAACACAAACTCGTGTCGAATAAAACAAAAATGCAACTTTTTGCAAACTTTTTGAAGACTGGCGTGTTTTCCGACAGTTTGAGTTTTGTTTTTCGAGTCCCGCTCGAAAGCGGTAACATCAAAAGGTTTCGACGTGTTTTGAAACTCGAGTCTGTTTAGTGGAAACGGTCGTGTTGTGTTCTTTGTTTTCTACTTTTATTTTATTTAGTCTGGATACGAATTTCATACTAAATTGGTAGGTAAGTAGTAGTAGAAACATATTTTTTCCAATTGTATAATAATATTCATATTATATTCCTCATAAGTCTATATAGAAATACTACAATTTAGTTACGAATAGATACGAATTTCATACTAAATTGGTAGGAAAGTAAGAAACATATTTTTTCCAAGTGTATAATAATATTCATATTATATTCCTCATAAGTCTATATAGAAATACTACAATGTAGTTTTTTAAAATTTTGTAACCTCATTTTTAGGTTAGGTTTAACTGTCAGACGACAAAATGTCACCATTATTGTTCGGCGGTCAATAATAATTTAACTTTTGAACTAGTAGTCACTACATTATTGTACTAGTTTAAAGGTCAAATTATTATTGACCGCCGAACAATAATGCTGACAGTTAAACCTAACCTAAAAATGAGGTTACAAAATTTCAAAAAAATATTGAAATTTAGAGCTTGAAAAAAAACTAGAATATAAAACACGGCGGCGAAAGCTTATTAATTACCTCGCACACAACCTACTGCCTCGGCAGTAAAATTGACTATTTTTTTTTTGAAAAATATATCGAGAATGTCATTCAGAATGACAAAAAAAATTTGGTGAAAATTTGAGCCCTTAATATTAATATTAATTTAATTCTTCAAAAGTTATTCACGAAGAAGTATAAACTAGCCACAACTAAGAATAAGAAAATCTTTTTCTCTAAACATGTTAGTTGATACTGAAAAAGTGTGTTCTGACATAATCACGACAACTAGTGGAAAAGGACCGAAAACAAAAACAAAACTCGAACAAAACTTAGTTTGCTTGATGGAAACAAGAGTTTCGGGTTTGTTTCAGTTTTGTTTTTGATTTGCAAGTTTTTAAAAACACAAACAAAACCCAAACTCAACTGTTCGTTTAGTGTAAAACCGGCATTACATTCAACCAAGAAGAATTTAGAATACAAATAAACAACACAGGAATGACTTAAAAAAAAACAAACCAGCGTCTCTAGGGAATTTAAAGTGTGGATTGATATGAAAAAAGTTACCAACTTTTCCCCCAGACTTGCATGCAACCGGCAATAAAAATCGAGCAGGACCGATATTTTGAAACAGCAATAGACTTACACGAAACGTCGCTATGTGCAATGCACATTGTGCATGCCTTTATCCCAGAGTATTGCGTATTGCACGTAGAATTGCAGACTGTAATACCGGACTAAGTGTTTTATCATTGATTTGGTTTTATTAACTGCCTTGCTAGTGTTGCCAAAAAACAATAATTGTATGAGGAAACAAAAAAAAAATCATTGTAGGTATTTTAACCTCGATTTTAACTGTAAATATCGTACACCACTTTTTATTAAATAATAGTACCTATATTAAAGTACTAATGTCATAAAACGCCATTTTGTCGCACGAGGACAATTTATAAAACGAGCGACGAAGGAGCGAGTTTTGTAATGGACGAGTGCGACAAAAGGTCTTATGACATGAGTTCTTTATGCAATTTTATCTATTTTGCAAAAATTCTATAAAAAAAAATAATTTTATTAATCGCTTGCGATGCTCAGTCATGGCTCCGCCTACTCTATAATCTTAAACAATGTAAAACGGTGGTACATCAGGCAACAGCTGCAAGCGAATATAAACAGTGGTACTGATCCAATGCACGTGACTGTACTTAATGCAAAAATAGGACAAGCTTTAGCACCTGCCATAGAGCGTGATCTGTAATTATTTAAGACTTCACAGCAGTCTTAAAGTTATTCTTATATTTTTATGTTTGTGTCGTTCCCTTTAATTTAAAAAATGGCCACCTTAAGGGGTTACATACATTTGTGCTGGGTCAAAAAATCGTTTTTTTTATTAAATATTCTTACAACATATACCTACTTTTAGGAATATGTACTCAAAATTTTATCAAGATCGGAGCACTAGAACTTATGTTATAGCACGCGCGGTGTTAAGCTGCACGCGTGCGTAATAACAGTGGAAAGTCGAAATTTTTACCCATTTTTTTTCTCGAAAGCGGCACGAGAGCAAACATGCAAAAACCGTTTTAACTTATTCTGAGATATTTGCCAAAAATGTGTACAGCAAAGTCCCACAAATATATGTGCTAAGTCAAAATACTTTACCAAAAATTATTAAGAATCGGTACTAATATTAATATTATTTTCCATTCTTTATTCCATGTTTCTATTTCTTGTTTTTAGCCAGTGCAATCTTAGACCCCTTTCAAATTGCTAATAATTGTGCAGTACAAATCTGTGGATTGTTTGGCAACTTTGCTGCGATCTGGATATTAAATATAGACCCCACTCTCTAAAAATGAATTAGTTAAAGATAAGTGAAAAACCAGCCAAGTGTAGTCCATATTATGTAAAATTGTCCTCTAAACCCGAAAATTGACTATATCTTTAAAAATGTTCTACTTTTATAACTTTTGATTATGCGGACAATTTTACATAGGAAAGGACTGCTAAATGTCCGGGATACAAATTGCTGTTGACGAGAATTATTAGTGGCTACTTTTTCGCTCATTTTTGACTAATTAATTTTTAGAGAGGCAAGGCCTGTGCTTGTTTCCATCTTAGATGCGTCCATGTATATTATGCTATATTTTTGTTTTTAAAATAAATCTATTTGAGTATGAGTATAAGAACGTATGGCTGGCCCCATCGGCATCGCCTTAGTTATATTTACCCCAACTTTCAGTTCTCATACGTATCCCTTAACTGCATTACCTGTGTTTGATGGATCCGAATTTTCACCCAGGCTGGTAAATCTCTCTTGGGAGGTCGTGGTTAACAGTTTCGATGGTTAAGGCCCCTCCCGGAATTTTTTCGCCGGGCCGGGCCATACGCCCGATTTAGGTTAGTGGAGCGCGGGACAGGAATTCTCATCAACCAGGGATTTAGTAACACACCCATTCAATTGGGGTTCATAAATGGGGTTTGGTTGGTTAGTACGCTGCTAGGACCCCTTGCTTATCAATAAGAAATTTCTCTTAGCGACTCGTTGCGCGTGACTACTCTTGTTATTGTTGTCCTTAGCCGTTAATTCGTAAGCGATTTTTAATTTAAAAAAATCAGTGGTTTACCCCTCGGCCACCAGGCAATTTCCGTCGGGTGTTGTTTAACTATACCCACTCTCTTAAAATAAATTAGTAATTTTGACTTATTGCCATAGCGAAAGGCAGTCTCTAATAATTAGACAATTCTACCGAATGAAATAGTCAATTAGTGGATTTATTTTAAAAAGTTGACCCAGGCGGGTGTTTAACTGTTCGCTGTGGCTCCCGTCCCGAGGCGGGACTTAGTTCAGTCCCGAGTGACGTTTATAAAATAAAAAAATAA